GAAGTGGGAGCGGAGCTGTTGCATTATGGTAAATTGTGGTCAATGTCATGAGGCAAAGTATATGTGAACTGCTGTATGGGAAGTGAATTTACTCTGTAAATTCTCACCCAAGCCACAATTAAAAAAAAAAAAGTAAGTCTCCCTCTCCTAATCAGACTCTACTTCTCACCAGAGATAATCTTTAGCAATAATTTCTTGTGTATTCTTTCATAAAGTTTTATTTGTACAACCATTTTAATAGTGGGGGATGTTTCTCAACAATTACACTACACATCAGTATCAGTATGCCTTATTCTTTTTTTTTTTAATTGTGATTTGAGTGAAAGTTTATAGAGCAAATTGGTTTTCCATTCAACATTCCATGCGTATTTTGTGACATTAACTGAAATTCCCACACTGTGACAGTATTCTGCTCGCTTGCTCCCTGCACCCACCACTTTGCTTTTCGTTTCCATCCCCTTCCACCTTCCTAGCCCTATCCCAGGGCAAATGCTGTCCTCTTGATCTCATACTTTTGATTGTTCTAATGAGTGCATATCTTTCTAGTAGTACTGTTCACTTCCTAGTTTGAAGGATGTCTAAAGGCCATGGTCTTGGGGGTTCCATCAGTTTTTGCCAAGCCAATAAGCTGGTCTTTTTTTTTTTTTTAAGATTTTAAGTTTTGTTTCACATTTCCCCCCTTTCTATCCAGGGCCTCCTATTATGTTACATTTCAGAGCAGTCAGCAGTGGTAGCCGGTACCATCTAGTTTTTCTTGTCTCAGGGTCATGGAGGCCAGGGTTCATGTGCTCTATTAGTCCTTTGGAGTAATTGTTTCCTGTGTCTTTCATTTTCTTCACTCTTCTTTGCTCCAGACAAGTATGCTTTATTCTTGTGTCTTGTAAAGTAACCAGTTCAAGCAGTTCACTGGAGGAAGCATTAGTGGTTATATTCACTGACAGGTAAACTAAGTTGAAAATATTTTCTAAATCATTACTCACTTAATGCTATACTGTAAATAGTTTATATAGGTTTCTGGAAAAAATGTCTTTTCTTCCAGAAAGATTTTTCTTCCGTAGCCTATAGTTTGTCCCTCTCCCCCATAGGCTTACATTTGAACATGATAATTTATATAGTTGGAGTTTGTGTGTAAACTGTCAGATGACAGTAAATCTTAAACATTTTTTTAAATCCCTGTATAGCTAACATGAAGCCTTTTCTTTTTTTTCAAAACTCTGAAAGACAGTGAATTTTAAGATTAGACTGTTTAATCAGTACTTGGCATCTTTTTTTAAAAAAAATTTCGTCAGGTTGTTGGAATGTATTAAAAATAAAATGACTAGAATGGTGAAGAGACTTGAAATCATGTCCTCTTAGTACTCGTAGTTGGGAAAGCTGTGGGGATGTGTTACTTGAGAAGACCAGGGAATATCATTATTTATTCAATAAATATTTATTGTGCCAAGCCTACTGAATAGTCATCATTGTATGTGTGTATATATACTATATATAACTATATATAATTATATATATATATACATAGTGGCTAAGGCACTTGACTGCTAACCAGAAGGCTGGTGGTTCAAACCCACTAGCCGCTCCTCAGAAGGAAGGTTGGGCAATCTACTTCCGTAGTGATACTGCCTCAGAAACCCAAGGAGGGGTCACTGTGAGTCAGGTCCGACTCGAGGGCACACAACAACAACAACAACAACAATATGTAATATATATATTATATATATGTGTACTTAGTATATATATATAAATGCACATATACCTACCTATATATGGAATATATAAGGGTGGATAAGACAGAATCCTTGACCTTATGAAGTGTATTTCCTAATCAGAAAGACTTATATGTACATACATGCATACGTACACAGCACAATTTCAGTTAGTGTATAAGTTGCAGGAAGAAAAATAAAGCAAGCATAAAGTGATACAAAATGAGTGAGGGCTCACAGAATGTGGCTTCTCTATGAAGAATGGATTATAGGGAGATAAGAATGGAAGTGGGGAACCAATTAGAAGACTCTTACAGCAGCAGTAATGGTACTAATAGAGGTAGTGAGAAATGGTCAGATGTGCTGCCTACATTGAAGGTATTGCCACATGGTTTGCTAATGATTGAGCATAGGAGAAGAGAGAAGGAGTTACTGTTGACTCTGTAGTTTTTGGCCTGAGTGATAGAGTGTCCATTTGCGGAAATTAAATTTGTTGGGGGAAGAATCAGGATTTGGTTTTGGTTGGCTTCAGAGTTTGGAAGTGGTAATGCATGGAAGAGGATTAAATTTATTCTTGGTGACACCACAGTTCTAATGAATGTAAGGAAGTAGGAACTGATTCCAGATAGTAAGGCCCAGTTCTGGAGCTAATGAGATCCCTGTCTTGAAGATACTGGACAATTAGTCAGTCACCCTATAGGCTGTCCTTAGGCTCTAAGTAGACAAGTCTTAAGGCCCTTTATAACTGTAGTCATTATTGTTTATAGAGTGATTATTTGCAGAGTAGAGGTCCTTGAGTGGCATAGACGTTTTGCTCTCAGCTAGCCTGGTAGCATAGTGCCTAAGGTACTTGACTGCTAACCAGAAGGCTGGCGGTTCACATCCACCAGCCATTCCTCGGTAGGAAGGTTGGGCAGTCTACTTCCATAGTGATACTGCCTTGGCAACCCAAGGAGGGGTTGCTATGAGTCGGGTCCGACTCGACAGCACATAACAACAACAACAACTAACCTAAAAGTTGGTGCTTTGAACCCACCTAGGTAGAGTAGTGCCTAAGGCACTTGACTGCTAACCAGAAAGCTGGCGGTTCAAACCCACCAGCCACTCCTCGGAAGGAAGATGGGGCAATCTACTTCCGTAGTGATACTGCCTCTGAAACCCAAGGAGGGGTTGCTATGAGTTGGGGCCGACTCGATGGCACATAACAACAACAACAACAGCAACAGTGGTGCCATGAAAATAGGCCTGTCATTCTGCTTCTGTAAATATTACAGCCAAGAAGATCCTGTGGAACAGTTCTGCTCTGTAGCACGTGACCTCCATGAGTTGGAATTGACTTGACATGGGTATTGACAGAATACTTTATAGGTAGCAAGGGGAAGGAGAAGAGGACATAGTTAAAAGATGTTGCCATCGTATCCAAGGACTTCTTATCTAGATGAGGAGTTGAAAATATAGACAGCTTAGAAACTATTATATAAATTGAGGAGTTTTTGTGGACTGTTAGGTTTGCCATATAACAGAGCCCAATATGGTATGTTGTGGAAAATTACTTAGAAGAAAGAAAATGTCCTGCATTGTCACTAAGTAGAAATGTGGCTATTCTAAGGCTAAAGAATTGGCTTGTACAAAGGCATGGAATTACCAAATGGAAGACAGTGTTTCTTAGACTTTTGGATTTCATGGATCAAAAAATTCCCTGATGATTGCCTCTAGAAATAGGGCTGCTAACTTATATTTTCCAAATAACGACCTCAAGAATAAAGAACCAGATTCTTTTATTGCCATTATTACATGAAAGAAAGTTCATTTTCATACCAAAATTCTTAGGAAAGATATACTCTCAGAATAAAATAGAATTGCTTAAGTGAAAGAAAATTTAGACCTAAGAAAACCTCTCTCTTTTTTACCTTCTGCTTCTTGTTTCACCATGGGTTGGTGAAAACTTTACTCTTGACATGTCCTGATCTGAAGACCAGCATCTGGAGACTACTTCTATGGGGGAATGCCAAGCCAGGAGGCTTTAGTGAGAGATCCAGTGAAGAATGTGCTTAGGAATCATGGGGCAGTGTGAGTGTAGGGAAGAGTACAGTTAGTGCTAGACCTTCAGTTCTTTGAGAATTAAGAAATTTGAAACAATGCAAGAACAGGGAGTTGCTGTAAGTCCTTGAAAATATTATTTAGTGAAAATTATTCTAACAAATGTATGAAGGGTGGATTAAAGCAGAGGAAAACTTGCGGTAAGAAATCTCTCTAGAAGTTATTGAAAGCAATTAGTCATCTAAAATTATAGAGATCTGGCGTATGGGTATAGTTTTGGAAAAAGGACCTAACTGTTAAAGAGAAAATGATTTTAAAAATTTGATTATATGCAGGGTTTAACAAAGATGAGTAAAATGTGACTTTGAATGTTTTGAGGTTAGACATTCAAATAGATATTCAATTAGATATTCAGATAGGTAAGAATCCTGGAAAAATAGAGGCATTTTAATGGAATATCTAATATGTTCCAGATATTAATTTCTGAGAAAGTAAGTGTAGGTTGCAAAGGACACAAGATTGAACTCACAGGGATAGATGCCAGTAAGTCAGTGAATGGCAAAGAGGAAACTGTAAGAGACAGGAATGTATAACCAAGAACCCTGAAGCCACAGAAATCAAGTGCCTCAAGAATAAACCAAACCAAACCAAAATAAAAAACCTGTTGCTGTTGAGTGAGTAGATTCATAGTGACCCTATAGAGTAGAGGAGGTAATTATTAGTAGCTGGTCTAGCAGAAAGGTAAAGATCATTGGATTTAGTTAAAAAAGCTCATTAATGAACTAGAGACAGTAGCATTTTAAGTAATTTCATGAACTTGAAATTTTATTGTTTAGAGATTGACTAATTCAACCGATTCATTTGACAAATGAGGAAGCGTGTGATTTTGGCTGTTATCTGTTCATAACAGTTGAGGTTTTGGTCAAGTGAATATAATATAGCACAAATAATAAGATGCCTCAAATTAAGATAAAGTTTTACTTTTATCTTAAGTGTAATTTTTTTATTCATTCCACATTATTGTCAACTCAGAAGATAATACAACCCCAGAAAATATACTTTTTTCTTCTTGATCTTCATATTCTTTAAGGAACAGAATTATTTATTGGTTTTTAATGTTTTAAATTCTGATTATTCTTTAATAGTTGCTGATACCTTATCTTAAGATAAATGTAAATTTGGTATTGAATCATGTTCTTAAATTTTGAAAACTTCAAGTTTATATTTTTTGTTTTAAAATTATTTATGTTTTAGGAGCTCCAAATGGACCAGCAAGCAAAGAAACATCTCCAAGAGGAATTTGATGCATCTTTAGAGGAGAAAGATCAGTATATCAGTGTTCTCCAGACTCAGGTAAAGGTTAAAAGCAAAAGTATGGAATTTTTGGTTAAAGAAAAATAGAGGGGTTTTGATGGGATATCTAATAGGTTCCAGATATTGTAAAAATGGCCTGTTTTTATAATTCTTTGCTTTTCCTCAATTAATTTTAAAAATAATTTTTGATTTATTGTGTCTTTTGGCTAACTACCATGTCATTGATAATAGCAACTATAAAAACCAATTGCTTTAGGGAATAAACTTTACAAAATAATTTTTCCACACTGCAGCAAAAAGGACATCATTTATAATATCCCCTTTCTGTTTTAAAGAAAGTATCAGTTTCTCATGATTTTTTTCTGATGGAAAGCACGTTTTCTTTAGGTTTCCCTGCTGAAACATCGATTACAAAATGGCCCGATGAATGCTGATTTACCTAAACCACTGCCTCAGATGGAGCCCCAGGCTGAAGGCATCACTAAAGAAGAGAACACAGAAAGTAATGTAGAGCCAGTAGGTAAGCGTCGTATTGTCAGAAGTTTAATTTACAGACTAGAGGAGGATGTTGAGAGAGTGCAGGTCATGAGCTGATGGACATGGGCTAATATACAAGTATAGTGTCCTTGAGCCTGACATTTTCAGAAAGATGTTATATTTTGGTTCTTCATTGTTGTTATTCAGAATAAAGTAACTAAATAACTTTTCTAAGACTATTTTACAGTCTGTGAATAGTACTGCATTTTCATTGTAATTGAGATTCATTTATTATGTCGGTACTACTTAATTGATAGAGGTAGTGAGATTTTATATAAACAGGTCAGATCTGCTCAAGATTATTGAGTACACTGTTTTGTTTGGATATTTTCGCTTTCAATTAATATTGCTTACATATTTCTACATTTTAAGATTCCTGTATTTGTCCTAATATCTGCCATTTAATTGCAAAATAAGGAATGTTTAAATTTTGTTTCAAAATTCAACTGTAGTCCTCCCTATTCCTTGAGATTTTGAGGTCCTCATTCACATACACATTCCTATGTTTTATTACCCATCTCTTTTTCTCAAAGAGATTTATGATGAACTTGTATTCCAGCCAAAGTCAGAGTAAGGAGCTGAGCAGCTAACTACCTAAGCAACCAACCTAAAAAGAGTCCTGAAGTTCCCCTGGGGAATGAAAACATCACTCATAAATGTAAGGATATGGAGAAAGCTGTAATTATCAGAGCTTCTCTCAGGAAGAGATTAGAATGTAATTGGAAGGAATACTTCCTTAATTCTTTTGGGCTAACACCCACAAGGGATAGTTGTGAAAGACTAGGGGTGGTCCTCAAACTGTCTTTTAAGGAGTGTGGAGTTGGTTAATGTTAGTTTAACTACTGAGTGCTATGTGCTATTTGGGATGGAGGTGAACCTCCGAAGAGGTGAGTACACTACTCAACTTCTTCAGATAAAAATAAACAGATAGCCAAAGACTAGAGGTTTGGAAGGGTGCCAAATTCTTAGCCAGCCAGGGTCCCCTCTTCTCTTGGTGTGGCTCAGAGTATGGCAGAGTGTTGAGATAAGATGACACTGCTGTATACTAGTAAGCTAAATGCACCCAGGGAGCCCTCCTATTCCTTACTGACAGCTCCCTGCTTATGCTGCTTTATTGTTAGTAGTGGGAGATGGAGCTTCTGCTAAAACATTGGAAACACTTCAGCAAAGAGTTAAGCGTCAAGAGAAACTACTTCAGCGTTGTAAGGAAACAATTCAGTCGCATAAGGAACAATGTACGCTGTTAACCAATGAAAAAGAAGCACTGCAAGAACAACTAGATGAAAGACTTCAAGAACTAGAAAAGATGAAGGTAAAACAGCAGATGAGTTTTGTTCTAACTACATATATAGTTTTGTTCTAACTCTGTATAGCCCTATATATCTAGATTCACAGGCTCCAGCAGGGCCTGCCCCTCTTCAGGAAGGGTGTCCTTGTTTGGGCTCCAGAGTGCTCTGGGTGTCCTCTCTTCATAGCATTGACCATACTTGTGAGACTGCCTGTATACTTTTCTCCTAACTAGACCATAAGAAGTATCTAAATTAGACAAAATGTTTAGAGTTCTCATAAGAGCAGAAGCTTTATTAGAGTGGAAATGAATTTTTAAAATTTTTTTAGGAGCTTCATATGGCTGAGAAGACTAAACTTATCACTCAGTTGCGTGATGCAAAGAACTTAATTGAACAGCTTGAACAAGATAAGGTAAAACAAAACCACTTACAATACTAAAATTGGTCAGGGGGCCCAAAAATTTCTTTTTGAAAGCAGTTGGAAACATTCAGGCCTCTGCTTCCCAAAATTATTGCAGTTGCTTCCATGAAATACATTTTTGTCTTAATTTCTAGATTTATATAACTATTAGCATTAGTTTTGTGTCATGTGAAGCTGATTCTGTTTTTGATTTTTTTTTTTTATCCTGGTTCGATTTATAGATTAGAATAACTGTTGCAAAGGAAATTCATAGTTTATAGTACATAATTAACTTTTCAGAGAAAAGTTATTTATAGTCAAGGCATTGCTGACTGCAAGTGGTAGATATTCTTTCAAATATAATAGAAATATAAATTTCTTTTATAATAGAAACAGATATTATCTTGCATAGAAGTTGCCTAAAAAGTAAAGAAATAATATGTATATTAGCATTTCTGTGTATAAACATTATACATTATAGACATTTATACATTACTGTGTATAAACAGAAATTTCTGCAAATGAATTTTCAGATCTCTAGATAAAATTGGAGGAGCTCTGGTAGCATAGTGCCTAAGGCACTTGACTGCTAACCAGAAGGCTGGCAGTTCAAACCCACCAGCCACTCCT